TTGTGAAAAACAAAATACATAAATATTCGCAAAAAATTTACATGGATGACTATCTGGACGCGAAATATACAGAAGAAGAAGCCATAACAACTATTCTTGAAATACGGAACATCCAGAATCTGCTGGTTTTGAAGTAGTAAATAGAATGAGTAACTTAAGTATGGTCCAACATATAGATGAAGCTTCCTTATTTCATCGATAACTAGGTCTTTGGTGGAATATTCAAGGTGACACTTTTTCATCCAGGCTGAATCTTCCATGTCACGACAGTGTAACTTAGGATTAAATTCAGTTCCATTTATGTATGTTCCGTGTTCCATGGACAAGGGCCAGTGAACAGTGTGGTTGACAGGAACAGTGATGCGTCGTTAATAAAAATGGACTTTGTAAATGAACATGTTTAATGAGTAATAAACAATAAATGTATAATTCAGACTACATCTTCATATAACTGTAACATTCCAGATGCAAATGAAGAAACTCCTACTAAGGGACGAGTCCTTAGATCCCTTATGTCCTTATTTGATCCTCTTGGTCTTGTAGCATGTTTTACCACCAAAGGAAAAATGCTCATGCTGCAAATTTGGAGTTGTTAAGTTGATTGGGATTCAAAGCATATTACTGGAGTTTTTTCCCAACACCAAATAGTTGTTTTTAACACCTCGACACGTGTTTCAATCACCTTGTGATCAGGAAGATAAAACTCAGTTTTAATGTTTTAATCTCCCTCTTTGAAGATGATCACTTGGCGATCGAAACACGTGTCGAGGTGTTAAAAATAACGATTTGGTGTTGGGAAAAAAATTCCAGTAATATTCATTACTACACCAAAAGTTCCAAACAGTGCATCATAAGGAATTCAAAGCGTCAAAACGTAATTATTCCAAGATACTAGAAGGACTCAAAAGAATACTTCAACTATAATTTCTAAGGTGCTGCATTCTAATGATTCTGAAAGCCAGTAAAATTGAAATTCATACTCACTGAAAGCAGTGAGAAAGCATTTATTTACTGCCGCGTCTTATCTCCGTATGGTTTCTGAACATTAATACCGATGTTTCTCAAAAAACAGCCCGAACAAGAATTGCTCATTCGAAACCCCTGCCAGTACCAGAAGTTGTTATGGCAAATCGATGAGCCTATTCCATTAAATGAAAGCTTAATATCTCTATCAGACAAATGTACTCCAAATGGAGATAGATTAGTCTCTCACAAATGGTTTAGGGGACCTGATTTTTTCAAATCGCGTGAAAGTAACGAGCCGAATTGAATTCGAAAAGTTTTCCACCGATGATACACAGATAAAAAAAGTAGTGGGTTAATTGCGAAATTTGCTTTTTCCAAATTATAAAGAAAAATGTTTTGATAAATTGATGGATGTAGCCGTTACTACGTGGTAGGAAATCATAATGAAGAAAAGAGAATTGAAGCATTCTATGTTTTTTACCACTTTTATTTGTAACTAACGTTACTACAGTTTCGTCCTATAAGGACATTTTCAAACTTATACATTAAACCAGACACACAAAGATTTTTAAAATGTTCGAGATTGATGAAAACAACTGTGTGGTGTTTGAGATTCATGAAAAATTTGAAGGCGAATGACAAAACCAAAAGAAATAAAGGCGAGTTGAATATGGAAGAGTTGAAAGAAGTTAAAATTCTTTGGATCAAACATGTACCTATATAGCTCAAGCGGTGAAATACAGCAATTGAAACACTGATAAATCACTTGGAAAACATAGTAAGCTGGCTTCTTTGTGTCCAGATATGATTCTATGGGGTAAGAACAAATGTAGTTTCGAGTTTATATGAAGACACACACCAAACAACCCATAATTCTGCGCCGTATACATTTTTATACGACTCTCTTAATCAGACAATTTCACGAAAAATTTCGTCATTTCGTTGACTAGAAAAAGAATTATTTATTGCTAATTATTGAGACTGTTCTGCATTGAGACTGTTCTGCACAGAACTGAGCCACAGAATAGATTGCTTAGTATTCTGTGACTGAAAAATTTGGAAATTTGTGATCGGACCTACTCACGGATCAAAGATGTCCCGAGCAATTTGGGGGGAATGTTATGAACATTTAATTTATATGGCGAAACTTCGCGAAATGAACTTAAAATTACTTAAACGAACCAATTTGTGATCGGACCTACTCACGGATCAAAGATGTCCCGAGCAATTGGGGGGGCATGTTATGAACATTTAATTTATATGGCGAAACTTCGCGAAATGAACTTAAAATTACTTAAACGAACCAAAATCCAAACACCCATCTTTTAGTCACTTGAATATCAGTTCAAATGTTAAACTGTCATCTTGACCTCTCGCCCTCCAACAGCCTCGCCAATGATAGCCCTCATTGTAAAATGTTCTATTTCCTTTGGCACCCGTCAAAAGAATGCAAATCAAAGATGTCATATGCGAAACGCGAAAGTCTACATGAATACATATACAGGATGTTTTCTGAGAATTCAGTTTCGGTTCATATTTTCGTTTTCAACTTTTCGCCTCATCAATAACAACCGGGTACGATTTATTTCCTCAGAGTTATTTTAAATACACTTATCACCTGCTGAAAGAGTATGCTATGTTATATGGCTGATGGGACTGCGAATATATAGCCGTAACTCTCTAGGTGGTTTAAAGAGTTCTTCTCATAGCCTCCCGGAACACGAAGGTAGGTTACTTCGCTATGTAACCTAACAATGGATGTTGTTAATATCGAAAATATTAATACTATTTTGTTAGCGAATATGAATAAAGAACATTTATTTTTTATCGTTATCGAGTTTCAAGATATTCATAGATGCTGCAGGTTGTGTAATTTCGATTAGTATTGAGTAGTTAACTTCTTATCAATCCATCAGGAAGTATAAGAGCGTTATTTATTCATTGTTGGATTGGCAAGTAAACTCTTTCAATATTTTGTTTTGTAATATCCTTTGAGTTGAACATGTTCTTTGACGCTAATGCGTCCAAGAACATGAACGTCAAAGAACATGACGCTAAGTTCGTATAGCAGTTTAATCAAGTTAAGTTATTTTCCCTTCATTATAAAGAGCGGATGACACGACCAATGAACTGCTTTTCATATTTGTTGTTTCCTAAACAATTCTCTTCAGTAACATTTATACGCATGTATTCTTCAAATAAATACCTAAGTGATAGGAGTATATTCACATTTCTTTAAATCATTTTTCAAAACAATACTACCATATCGCCAGGCCAATGAATTTTAACAAATTAAAATCAGAAAAATAAGCCCCATAATATATCTTCCAATTCCTACAAGTATCTCGAATGAGCCTTTTTCCTGAGAAAAGTACAGCAAACGTGTCACGAGAGGCAGCACTAGTGGTAGGTAAAAACAATAAACTATTAACATGTAAAACAGTGTTATTTACGTAATATTAATTTATTATTTGAAAATATAAGTCTGATATAAAAAATTATTTTGTGCTAGTATAATGCCAACAAAAGCATTGCTGTTTTGCGAATTGTACGTCCGATAATCGATATCCGGAAGAAAACGTGTTTTTATACCATTTATAAAACCTCATAAAAATAAGGTTAGATGTAAGAAATGGATACATGCTTCGAGGAGAATGGATTTAACAGTGCAAAAAATTAATAAATATTCATATGTATGCCCTAAACATGAAATGAATAGTAAATTTTCAATAGTTAATTACCGTTGATTAGAATGAGATATAACCTCAATCGTTTATTAAATTATATTCATTATATTTCATTAAATTTATTTCATTACCATCTATATTTGATTCATATTTCACTCGGAAATAAGTCTGAAATTCATAATTATTTTAAATTTCTTTTATTACAGTTTAAATCTAATGCTACTCATTTTTAGAGTATGTATACTAACCTGTCTATTAATTCACTTTTTTCCAGTTATTTTTAAATTACGGCATGCAAGCCAACGTTTTAATGTTATAACATTGTTATCCTTCACAGTTGCAAATTTTAGTTTTGCTCATTATTTTTTAATTGTACTTCACCATATGTTTATATGAGGATTAGACAGTGTTTGTCCCTACCGAACTACTAGCGCTGCTAGTGGGTGATTTTTCGTACTTCAGGAAAAAGGTTCAAGAAATTTTAAGTACAGAGGTACAGATGCTGATTCCACTGTTATATTTACTGGTGAACAAAACACGGTCAAACTTTGACTTGATAAATGAGAAATAAAACTTTCTGTTTTTTTACCACTTGTATTTGTAACTAGCGTTACTGCAGCTTCGTTCTATAAGGACACTCGAATATTCGTATAAGGACATTTTCAAACGAATACTCAAATATTCGTTTGAAAATGTTCTTCTAGGACGAAACTGCAGTAACGTTAGTTACAAATACAAGTGGTAAAAAAACATAAAAAGTTTTATTTCTCATTTTTCATGATGACCACGTAGAAACGGCTACATCCATCAATTTATTCAAACTTTGTCATTTGTTACTGCCACAAATATAATTTCAGAAATGGAAATTCACAGTCAATTAAAAATAGGAGAAAACAATTAGTTATTTTATTTTTAATTTCAAAGCAGATTTGTTTGCTTATTTCTTCATCTAATCAAATGCAAAATCGGTGGTGATAATATTATTATCACCACCGATTATTACCGATTATTATTATTGAAGTTATTCGATGACAATATATTCAACCGTATGGGCAAGAAGTAAGAGTGGTAGTTACAGTTATAACCTCAAGGACTTCAAATAAACTAATATTCAAATACTAATTCAAATGAATAGAAGTAATCTGAAATCCACTTTTCTGTTCACAGAAAATAACCCGTTTACTTGAGAAATATATTTTCAAATATTCTATTATCTATACTCCATACGTTTCATGGTTTTTTTCACCTGAGCTGCTCCAGTGCAAAACTTGTTGGAAATATACTCTGACGCTCCACAGAGCGGTTCAAGAAAGACGCTAATGTTTTTATGTTCGGGCAATTCGGGTAGGTATGTCATATTACGTAAATTGGACATTCACCGATTTACGTCACTATTCTATTCCTTTGGCAAAAGGTGTCAAATGGATGTAGTGAGAGTTGTTCTCTATTATTTGGTTTTATAAATTTCTAAATTATCAAAACTCTAGAGATTGAACAATGTTATCTGTTTGTAAACAAACCTTCTCTGCGAGTCTGCAAAGGTTAGTAAAGATTTGACCTTTCAAGATAAAATTTATCAAATATTATGAGATTAATAATTATTCACTTTTATCACATATTTATTATTAAACATTATAAATTGACCCACTATTTGGATTATCATCCTGGGAGTAATATTTTTGTTTCGTTTATCAAAAAGGAACGGTGTATGTATTTTATCAGAGGTCGATATTTTTGACAATTGGAATTTTCCATTGATGAGTAGTTCAGGAGATCTTATTAATTGATGCATTTCGAAAAGCATATGTAAAGTTTTATCACTCAATGTGTTATATATAATCTGAAAAAAGAATAGTTAAATCAAATGATTATGGAATTCCTTCAATTTTTCAACTGAATATTTTTCAAGTTTCAGGTGTTGTCATCATGATATGATTTAGTTTCTATCTCAAGGACAGGTAGTAATGCAATAATAGCCGTCCCACTTTATATATTATTCAAGTCAAATATTACATAATACATGAAACAAAACATGTTGGCTTTTACTGTTTCTAATGTATTTTGGAAATTAGTCAAAGAGTAACTGCATGCATGCAATATTGAAAATGTTAATAGTTGTGAAGATATTGAGCTGAGATGAGAAAGAAAAGATTTATGAAGATTTAATGAATTAGGTTTCTAACTATAGATGTTACAAAAGTACCATACCTAAACATTTAGATTTTATGAAAAATAGGGAAGCAAAAAAATTGGATCTGAGGGTACCTAATTTGGTTTTGATTTGAACTTAATCTGAAAAAATTCAATCAATGGCTAATAATCTAGTTGCTGTCGGATATAATCCAACACCGTTTGTGGTATTAGGCAGGCTTGAACATTCAAAGTTTATTTCTTTAAATTTTGATATTATTAATTTAAATAAGATAATGTATTTGTCACCAGCATCGAGACCAGCATCAATTTTCTTGATAGTTTTTTTTAAATAGAGATCTCAAAGATAATTTACAATAATCCAGTTGCTAATTGAGGCAGTTCTCAGAAATGTTTTTAATGAGATGTTTTAAAATTTTTAATGTTACCAAATCAACCTATAATGAAACAACACATACAATTATCTTGGTTCACTAGGAATCTTTTTTATATTAAGGTGTTCAATCCAAACTCATTGTTGGATAAATTTCGAACTTTGAATGTCTTTGCGAAGTTGGTCATTGTGAGTTTCTAAGTAACATTTATCTAAATGAAGCATTTGATTTGAATACCAGTTGATAGAATTATCAGTCAATTATAATTTGTTTTGTCCATTCCAAAATAGTCAATTTTATTTGAGTTTGGAGGTCGTTTTATTTATAGAATGATTTGAAAATAAATATATCTTGCTTAACAAAATATTACGAATTGCAGTTACTTATACCATGTCCATTGAATGTTATCAATATATTTGATTTGTATTTAAATACTCGAACAACAGTTACTTGAATAATCAATGGAAAACTCAATCATCGTAATGTAATGTATCATTCAACTTTTTATTGATGAAATTATCATATTCATTATGATATACGAGGTCTGTTCAAAAAATAAGGTGTAGTCCACCTCAGATGTTATACACTTGTGCCAGCGGTTTCTCCAATCTTCAAAGCAGTTCTGATGCTCTTTCAGCGATTCGGTTTTTATATCCTCAATCGTCGTGAAACGCTGCCCTTTCATGGGTCTCTTAAATCTTGGAAAGGGGAAAAGTCGCAGGGGGCCNTTTCAAACAATGCTAGTTTTGAATCATGAATACGTTTCAAATCATACTGTACGTGACGTCATCGTTTCAACGCCAGAGTGAATGTATTTGAATCAAAGAAGAATACGTTTTGAATACATGAGCGCCAGAAAACGCCGCATATTATATCATATTAGACAGTGGAAGTCCGATCCAATGAAAGTAGACCTCGTAAATATCATACATTTTGATTACTGACTTGATAAATTTTACAATTTACTACCTTGAATTGAGAATATTCCAGGATAGACAGGGGCAACTTTACCTATTGTGTGAGGGGTGCGGTGCACCCGGACACCGTGTTAGGGTGCTCCGAGCGGGGCTCTACAAAAATTGTAAAACATCTATGCGCGCGGACTCTCCTCACGTGCAGTAGCTTACTCACAGCGCATACCCTTAGAACATGCGTTGTGCCGCTTGCAGCGTCTGCGCCCAGCGAGATACGGTTGACGCCGAACGCGGTAGCAGAGCAAGCCGCGCCACGATTGGCTCTTTTACTATTTGTTTCTACAGTTCCTACACAAAAACTTCTATTTCAACATGAAAACCGCCTTATGATTTATATTGGCGTCGTGTCGCTCGGCTTCCAGAGACGCATGTTGGTACCTGTTTTGATTCGTTCAATATCAAAGTTGTATTTTTTATTCTTGTAACTCCTCGCCCCTCCTTTCCAAAAAAAAAACTTTTTACTCGTTTACAGATGGCGACAGGCCAATCTATCGAAATATGTCAAATTTCCTCAACCAATTTTCAAAATCCCAGCAAAAAAAGTTAATTTTAAATGAATTTTTTACGGGTTTGGGTATGTTGCTTTGACGCCATATTCACTATAACTTCACAACCCAATCGAGTCCACTCTGCACCAGGTTTCGTGATAAAACAACGATATTAAGCATCCAGCGAGGTTCGGAGTTTAGTTTATCGTGGTGTAAGTACTTGTTCCATTTTGACCGCGCATTTTTGTACGAGAGGGCGGCAGAATATTGATTACAAAATGGGCTACATGGACTAAATCCGCCCCTGAAAGTAAAGATATCAGCATTTGATTCCCCTTCGACCCACTCACCTATTTATACAAAGTTAAGCATTTTTTCAGCTGTTTATAGTTTTCATTCTACTGTCTAAATACTTTTTTACATTAATGTTCAGGAAAGAGGTCAACTGCAGAAAAAAGAATACCCCAGATTAGTTCAACTATTTTGAATTTTCTTTTATGCGTTTACTAAACCCCTTTCACTTTTTAGATACCTTTTCATAATTAGATGATGTGAATAGATCATGTCACTGCCATTATCAGAGGTGAAAAATTCAGATTAATTTTATGGGTATATTTATTTGAATATGCTTTGCAATTCAATTAATCCCAAAATACTCGTAATAGCATCTACTAGTAAAATAGTATAATAGTATATCCCACTAGTCTGTACTATTGCAAATGTCCACTCTGATATACATGCAGTACACAGATTGTGTACAGGAGTCTGAATCAGAGAATTCTGAAAAAGAATTGCAAACAAGGAATGAATGCAATAAAGGGTTATAATCAGTAAAACTTTTTTGCACAATTGGAGGGCAGTACTTACGGTTCGTTCTGTGAACTATACTTGTTTGGAATCCCTAATGCCTTTCCTCTCCAGGAATTATTAACATTCTCGTGTGTTGTTTTTTTGTTTACCAACTGTTAGTAATGATGGAAAAAAAAAATGATTTTTGTCTATTGTTGCTAGTCGGTAGGATAAATATCTGTACTTCAGAAATCAGAAAGAGTGATTTGTAGTTTCAAGACCTTATCATTTCTTAAGCTTTACTTCAGTTTCTGTAAACATTTTTCTAAAAAGTGGAATTGTATAAAAGGACCTTCATTTTGTCCAGCTATATCACGTAGATCACATAAAAAATGAACTCTTGTTTAGATAATTTTACCTAACTTCAAAGATTAAGGGTTCATTATAAGATTTAACATATATGGGATAAGAATATTATTCATAATTGAGATAAAATCAAATTTATTCATCATCAAAAGTCCATACAAATGTATAAAAAACATATCATATAAACTTATGACATGTTACGTTTTTCCCCGTGGGTTTACCAATAATTGACTACACTGAAGGAGTTTCGTTTCTGATATAGTGGTAGACGGACGTTCCTACAACGATCGTTCACACAGAAGGTACGCGGACGCCATTGTTGGAGATGAAACTCAGTTTTGTGTTGCAACTATCCGCCGTCATAGAACGTGCCACCAGTAAAATACACATTGTTTTGTGGAACGTCTTATAAGTGTTAAAGAGAAACAGCACTCTCACTCACGCCGGTTGGAGGCCGGGTGGACCGGATGTCCACGTGGGAGTGTTACAGTGGATCTACATAACTCCTATCCCCATTCACGCCGGTTGGAGGCCGGGGTGGACTGGATTTTATCAGCCATATGTGAAAAAATATTTGTAAAAAGTCAGAAAGTCTCCCGAGCAGGAGGCGACTCACTCAACAAAAAATATTGAGTGTTTTTATGATAAAAAGTTTTGATAAAAAAAGGGTGGAAGCATTGCTTCGAGCAAGACCGTTGCCCCCCCCCCGACGAAACTCCTGTCAATTCTAATAGGAGGAGGGTGGACAAATGCTCCGAGAGGAAGCAACGTCTAATAAACCAAGAGAGAGAGAGAGAGATTACACTGAACAATAGTCAAACTTAACTTTATTTCTCTTTTAATACAAGAAAACACTAATCAAAACTTCAACTATTATTCAAATGTATATCGCCTTATTAGATCGTTTCGCGTACCGAAGGGTCTCGAAGATGGTAGATTATTCGCTAGAATTCCATCGAAGCCGATAGCATTATTCTCGCCACGTCTAGAACGGTCGCGAACATCGAACATCCGCGAAACGTCTGCCGGACCGGCGCACTCTTGGCCACGTCACAATAGGGCATGATTTACAACACTACACCTTTCTCTGAGGTTGTTCGCCCCGAACAACATACCAAGAGGAATCATCACGACCCATGTAAGGACTCTCTATGTGGACAACTTTACCTGTTCTGGGTGACAATTGGATTCTGTACACCAAGGTCGTTAATCTTTTTGGTTACCAAGTAAGGTCCATGCCATGGTCTCTGCAATTTGGGACACAAACCTTTCCGGCGTTGGGATTGGATGAGCCACACTGCATAGCCCTCTTTGAAGCTCGCCGGCAGCAACTTTTTGTCAAATCTTATCTTCATCTTGTCGCTGGAAATTTATAATTTGGTTCTTGAAAATTCATGTA